GTCACCCCCTTCCTCACTCTGTCACTAAGGACAGAGGGGTGATTAGTGACAGTGAGGGAGGGGGTGACACAGTGACAGAGTTAGGAGGGAGTGATTAGTGACAGAGAGAGGGAAGGGGATGACATGTGACAGAGTGAGGGAGGGGATGACTAGTGACAGAGGGAGGTGGTGACTAGTGACAGAGTGAGGGAGGTGGTGACTAGTGACAGTCACCACCTCCCTCACTCTGTCACTAGTCACCCCTTCCTTCCCTCACTGTGCCACTAGTCACCCCTTCCCTCACTCTGTCACTAGTCACCCTTTCCTCATTTCTGCCACTGTCACTTTTTCTCACTTGTCATTGTCACTCCCTCACTTCTAGTGACAGAGTGAGGGAGGGACAGGTGACAGAGTGAGTGACTAGTGACAGTGAGGGTGATTGTTTCAGTCACTCTCCTACAGTTGGCTGTAAAGTCATTTCTTTCTCACTCTGTCACTAATCACCCCCTCTGTCCTTAGTGACAGAGTGAGAGAGGGGGTGACTAGTGACAGAGTGAGGGAAGGGGTGACTGTCACTAGTCACCCCATCCCTCTGTCACTAGTCACTCCCTCCTAACTGTGTCACCTGCTCCCTCACTCTGTCACTAGTCACCCCTCCCTCACTCTGTCACTAATCACCCCCTCTGTCCTTAGTGACAGAGTGAGAGAGGGGGTGACTAGTGAGAGTGAGGAAGGGGGTGACATAGTGAGGGAGGGGGTGACTAGTGACATAGTGAGAGAGGGGGTGACTAGTGACAGAGTGAGGGAGGGGGTGACACAGTGACAGAGTTAGGGAGGGAGTGACTAGTGACAGTCACCCCCTCTCTCACTCTGTCACTAGTCACACCCTCTCTCACTCTGTCATTAGTCACCCACTCTCTCACTCTGTCACCAGTCATCCCTTCCTTCCCTCACTCTGCCACTAGTCATCCCTTCCCTCACTCTGTCACCAGTCACCCCTTCCTTCCTTCACAATGACAGAGTTAGGGAGGGAGTGACTAGTGACAGAGAGAGGGATGGGGTGACTAGTGACAGAGAGAGGGATGGTGTGACTAGTGACAGAGAGAAGGATGGGGTGACTAGTGACAGAGTGAGGAAGGGGGTGACTAGGGAGAGAGGGGGTGATTAGTGACAGAGTGAGGGAGGGGGTAACACAGTGACAGAGTAAGGGGGTGACTAGTGACAGAGTGAGGGAGTGGGTGACACAGTGACAGAGTTAGGGAGGGAGTAACTAGTGACAGAGAGAGGGATGGGGTGACTGGTGACAGTCACCCCCCCCTCACTCTGTCACCAGTCATCCCCTCACTCTGTCACTAGTCACCCCTTCCCTCCCTCACTCTGCCACTAGTCACCCATTCCCTCACTCTGTCACTAGTCTCCCATTCCCTCACTCTGTCACTAGTCTCCCATTCCCTCCCTCTGTCACTAGTCTCCCCCTCTCCTTCCCTCTGTCACTAGTCACCCACTCCCTCACTCTGTCACCAGTCACCCCCACTCACTGTGTCTCCCCCTCACTCTGCCACCACTCAACCCCTCCCTCACTCTGCCACCAGGTACCCCCTCACTCTGCCACCCGTCACAACCTCCCACACTCTTCCACCTGTCACCTTCTCCCTCACACACTCTGTCACCTGTCACATATGCATTCACACAGACACTATATACAAAAAAGCACATGTAGTCATCCAGACATGCACAAGTGCATTCACACAGACTCAAATACAAACATGCATTGATACACAGGTCTTCACAATACACACATCCAAAGGAATGCCGTATTATGAATTATATTTAACATTTATTAAAATGCACATATATTTGGCCTTCAAAGGGCCTGGGATCTAATTTTGCCCGGGGGCCCCAAAGGCTCTCAGTCCGCCCCTGCATGGCCGGGATAGCTGCCTCCTGCATTGCCAGCAGGGGGGCTGCCTGTAATGACAGGTGGTCCCCCTGCTGGCTGGAAATCAAATTAAATGAAATTAATAAAAGTTAAAGAAGTGTAAAAAATATATATATATATATACTTAGATCATATATATATATATATATATATATATAGATGTGTTATTTCGTTCTAACTGTATTGTGATATTGATATATATTTATATCAAAATACACGTAGAACGAATTAATATATATATCTATATACATAAATATATAAGTATATATCACTATTCGCCAGATTGGTTACGTTGCCTTTGAGACCCTATGGTAGCCCAAGAATGAAAATTACCCCTATGATGGCATACCATTTGCAATAGTAGACAACCCAAGGTATTGCAAACGGGGTATGTCCAGTCTTTTTAGTAGCCACTTAGTCACAAACACTGGCCAAAATTGGCGTTTTTTGCATTTTTCACACACAAACAAATACTAACACTAACTTTGGCCAGTGTTTGTGACCAAATGGCTACTAAAAAAGACTGGACATATCCCATTTGCAATACCTTGGGTTGTCTACTATTGCAAATGATATGCCATTATGGGTGTAAATTTCTTTCCTGAGCTACTATAAAGTCCCAAAGGCAACGTAACCAATCTGGCGAATTTCAATTTCAAATGTAACGTGCTATATTTGACCCTGTAACTTCCCAAAATGCCATAAAACCTGTACATAGGGGCTACTGTTTTACACGTGAGACTTTGCTGAATACAAATATGTGTATTTTATTTCAGTAAAAGCAAACAGTATTATGACATTGACCGTTAAAATGTCATGTAGAACTAAAAAAATAAAAATAAATCTTATTTTCTCCCATTTTTTTCATATTAAATTATGTTTCATAGCTAAATATTTGCTATTAAATGAAAGCCCTGTTTCTCCTGAATAAAATCATATATAATAAGGGTGGGTGTATTTAATATGAAAGAGGTGAATTCCGGTTGGACAGACATATAGCGCAAATGCCAGGTTTTGTTTCGTTCACAACGTGTACATTTGGCTCCATCCTTAAGGGGTTAAAACACTAATGAAATATAAGGAATTTGTTTACAGTTCCAATAATCCAATAAATAAAAAGTGAAACACTTAACCTCTCCCCATCTTTGTATTTAATAACATAGGCTATCAAAATTATAGAAGATTAGGTTTTTATATGACACACTCATAGATGTGGCATGCTGTCTAGTATATTTATGTGTTTCAGTTCCATTTGCCTGACATGCAATGTATGCTCCTGGGGAATTGCAGATGCTCTAATCACTTTGACCTTTTCTTGAACCTTGGTTCATATGGTAGCCTTGTGATTACCATCATGAAATTAAATTTCTACTTCATGGTCAATTCAGTTTTCAGTTGTTCCTCATCCTAGGATGTGAATGAGCTCCATGTGACTATACTTATCTTACCGTATTACACAATATCTTTTACCAGCTTCCAAGATCCACACATGAAAGGAAAACATTTTATTCATTTATCTACCGTTTATATTTTTTTTTCTTGAACTCTTCATGGTTTATGAGGTAAATGATGTAAAATATTTCAGTTTGTTAACGTGGGGAGTTATATAGACCCCTGTTTTGATGTATATAATTTTTAGAAATATAGTTAAAGAACAATATGTCTAGTTATTATTTTTTACAGGGATTTTGTAAGAAGTTCACTTAGGGGATCAGCTTCTGACATATGACTTTCCTCAATGAATACAGTCATTGAGGAGTACCAGATAAGTCTTGCATACTGTCACATCATGCCTTGTTCTGCGGATCAGTCTGGTGATGGCTTTTGGTATCCAGTACTCTTTTTACAATTCTTGTTTAGTTTTTATTGTTTTTTTGGTTTTCTATTCCATGTCTGGTTTTCCTTATGCTAGGTTTTCTGGGTCCATTCCATTATTCCGTCGCTGGAATTCCCAGTCTCCTGGATTCATTTATATGTTTGTTTTATGTTGCCATACCTGTTTGTTTTCCATTTTCCTTTTGTTTCAGCCTGGACCTGCAGCAGAGTTTCAATTCTCTGCTCTTTCTTGCAGGTAAGTGCTATTGTGGTTTAGTATGGTTCTTTTAGCGAACATTAGGCAGTGTATGACCTGCCGAATATGGGGTACATTGGCGTTGTGGTAGGCTTATGCAATGTATGATCATATAATGTAACTAAATCCCCATACTTTTCATATATAGTGCTTAGTTATGTCTCCTCTTGTTTTGCCTATTATATCTTGTCTTGTTTTATTTTGCAATCCCAGTTCATGTACAGTCCCTGTTCTTGTTTTCCTCATGTCTTGTGTACATGTTCTGGGTTCTGCTTTATGTCCTGCTCTGGTTCTGGGTTCTATTAGTTCTGTCTTGTTTACATGTTTGGTGACTATCCTATCCTAGCCTTGCCTTGTTTCTGTTCTGGATACATGTCTGCTGCAGAGCACCCCTATCCAGTTCATGGGAGGTCTGCATATCAAGCTCCTAGTTCTTGGCATCCGCTGTAGCTGCATCAGGGTTCTGGTATGTGGCCTCGCAAACGCTGGTGCTCAACGCCAGAGGATGTGTGGTTACCCAGCACCAGACCCTGCTAATCCACCTTCACACTGTGACTCCTACTCTGAACATTAGGCATACTGGATCCCGGTCCTTTATGGATACCAAGTTATGGCACTATTTAGTAGATAGCTCCAAAATTTGGAAACCTCTTTAAGGATCCCAATTTAGGGTGCTGTTTAGGAGGTATTTCCTTAATTGAATATCCTGATGTGAGATTGCCTATTTATTCCCTTAGTGACCTCGGACGTATCAGGTACGTCCAACAAAAAAATGGTCCTTAAGGAACGCGGACGTACCTGATACGTCCGCGGGGAATTAGAGAGCTGGAAGAGACCATGATCCCTTCCAGCAGCTTTAATGGTATTGCAGCGATGCCTCAATGTTGAGGCATCGCTGCAATACCTCCCTCACTGCCGGTGGCCCTGGGTGAACACTGGGTGATCGCTCCCCCTGTAGTGATCACTTCCGGGTTGCTCCACGTGGAGCCCGGCAGTATGGCAGAGCATGGGAAGCCATCAGGCACTCAGTAAATATATGATTTTTTTTTAAACACAAATACCGCTGTGGGTGTGGCTTTGCGGTGCTGGCTGCTATTGCTCATGACTTTTTTGCAATAACTTTTTTTTTGTAAGGGGTTAAAGTGTTTACTTGAACCATCAAAACAACTTCAGCGTAATATGTCCATTTTGGTATGTAGATCATCCCTCTGCAGCCTCACTGCTAAATTGTCTTTTCTCTTTTATTCTCTTTTATAAATAGAATTTTATAAATTCTATTTAGGAGTTATATCACATTTTATATGCAGCCCTAGCCATACCTCCCATGACTATGACTCAATGAAAAAAGGCTTTATTTTAAATCAGATTGTACAGCAAATAATGTTTACTGTAGATGTTTTTATCCTGCTCTGTTAATTAAACTGTAATTACACTCAGGCTACGAAAGGCTCTAGCATGCAATTAACAGAGCAAGTGATAAGAACTTCTAAATCAAAACAGTGCAATAAAGGAAACATTTTTTTTTTTTTAAGAAGATGGGGTGTGTGAGTCACAGACAGGAGAGAAGTGACAAGGCTGCATAAACCAAGTGATTTTGCGCCTAAATTGCAGAAAATTAAGCAGTTAAACTCCACTGGAATGATCTCTACAGAAAAAAAAACACTTAACTATCGGGTACTTTTTGATTGATAAAATATTAGCCTAAAAATAAAAAATATGAAATAAATAAAAAAAATTACTATTTTAATTTTTACTTTTTCTGTAATCCTGTATTCAAATATTTGGGAAATTAAACATTTATAACGTATACAGTATTTTTATCTTATGTAAAAAAAATTGTAATATTTTACACAGGGTCTAAAATGTTAGTATAAAAGAAAATATTAAATTTTTCTTACACGAAGTAGGTGTGAAAATATATAAATAAAAATAGTCAAACTCCTTACTTATTGGTTTTTGTAAGGACCATGAACTTTTACAGAATATAAAAAGAATGTGTTCA